CAGATGCAGATGAGCAGGTTAGGTTACGGAACAGAACAGAGAACTAGGAAAAAGAAAATGCAAGCTGCAAAAAAAACCAAATAAACAGCACCTAAAGGGCAAAGGCCGAGAGAAAACAAGGACTTACCGTCGCACTCGTCGCTGCCGCGATGTTGCGGCTGCCGCCTGCCTATTGTCGCTGCCGCCTGCCTGTCGTCTGCGTTCTCGTCGTCGTCGATGTCCGCTTCCGCTGTTGTCTGCGTTCTCGACTTCTTGTAGACTAGTACTCTCGTCGTCGCTAGATCAAGAGGGGGACCGGTTGAATGTTTGTACTCTACACAAACTTTTGGACCATATACATTAGCCTATCTAGAAAAAAAAATCACAAGGGCCAAGGCCCCTAAAGGCCCATTAGGCCGTCCGTCCCTGTCTGCAGTTAGTTACACGAATTCAGATATATGATAGAATCGTTTAGGGATGAACATGTTTAAGAGTTTTTAAGAGTTTTAATCAAATGCTTTATAAGATAGTATAGATAATATAATTTTTTATAAAGATAATAATTATTTATTTTGTTGGAACTCGATAATTATTCTAATTATATTTTAGATTTTTTACATTTTAAAATGAGATGTTTATTCTCTATTTGATTATGTTTATCCGCAGTTAGTTATACGAATTCAAACATCGAGCTTTAATAAATCAATAAGTTATTTCTATAAACAATCCCAAACACCTCCTAAATTTGAAGAGTTTCTTACTCTTCTACTTTTTCTCATTTGGTCCAAAATCTTCATTTTGTTTATATATACAATTGAATATACATGGGCCTAATCAAAAGAAATTTGTGTAGTTTGTTTGTGATGACAGTGAGATCCAATGTGAACCATTTATTTTGGATATTTAAGGATATTTCTTAATAAGATAAAAGGGCAATTTAGTAATTTTATTTATAACAACTCATTAAAAGATTTAACTGATTTTTTGAAAGAAAATATTTAATTAATTTTAATTATGTAATAAATATTGTCTTTTAAAAATGTTTATGGATCAAAGTGTATCATAGTGATAATACTCACAATGTATCACAATGTGAATCACAATGTATCTTCATAGTTAAGTATATCATAATGTACATTTTCTTTATTTTCATTGCTCGATGATGGGTATCACGATGTGTTTTTTTGTTACTTTAGTTGTTTTACTAAGGTCACACTTGTACATCTTGTATGTATATCTGGCTATCAGAGTGAATATCGTTTATATCTTCTTTAACGATGTTTTTTTAGCTATCACAATATGTATTTTTTTCGTATACATAAGGTTCGTCGGAAAGAGGAGAGATGAGATTTTTAAAATCTCTAAAATGTCCTTAATTAATATTTTAAGTTAAAATTATCATAATTATTAATTTTTAAATTTAACCTTTGATTTGTGGTTGAGATTGGATTATCCTGATTATCACAAATTACTAAGTTCTTCTTCGAATGACCCCCTATTAAAATTTTAAAAATACCTAAAATGTCCTTTAATTATAATATAAGTCAAATTACCAAAGATATTAGTTTCCTAATTTATCCATTGGTTTGTGGTTAAGATTGAATCTTACAGTCATCACAAACTAATCAATTCTCTTTTGAATGAACCCCCTATACACACACACACACACACACATATATATATATATATATATGTGTGTGTGTGTGGGGGGGGGTGGGGGGAGGGGTATTTTAGGTATTTTAAATTTTTTTATCTCTTTTCTCTCTCTCTCTCTCTCTCCCTACCTCTGGCCTCTGACGAATACCATGTGATACCTAAAATACACCAAGATACACAATGTGATACCCAAAATACATACAATGTGATCTTCAAAACACACCAAGTAATTTTGAGACCTCTGTGATACCAACGGTGGTATCACTGTTACAGGTGGGTGTTTAGTGATCGATCATCGAAGACGACGTCTTAGTCATACAAGATGACCGGAAGAGATGACCGGAAGAGATCACCGGAGTGGTGGTGGATGCCGGAGAAAGTCATCGGATTTGGTCCCTGTGTGTCCGTGTGTGTGTGTGTGTATATATACATACATATATTAAACTAATTAAAGTAAATTAAATAATCAACACAATTTACTAATTTACCTTTTATTTTATTTTAGTAAATAACATTAATTATCTAAAATGATTGACACATATTGAACCTCACAGTTACCATAAATTATCTAGTTCTAATTTGATTAGACCCCTATATATATGGGACCATTCAATGGAGAACTGATTAGTTTGTGGTAACTGTGAGATTCAATCTCAACCACAAATCAACGGATAAATTAGGAAATTAATAATTATGGTAGTTTGAGTTAAAAATATAATTAGAGGGCATTTTTGGTATTTTTAAAAAACTCTTCTCTCCTCTCTCCTTTCTTCTCTCTCCTCTCTCACCTCTTCGATCTCCAATCTCCGGCCTCCGGTGAACATTAATCCGGCAAGTACCAAGTAATCACAAAGATACACAATGTGATACCCATTGTGATATAATGTGATACCACTGTGATACCAACTCAAACCTTAGAAACAAAAATACACAATGTGATACCCATTGTGATATACTGTGATACCGATTTCACCGGAGGCCGGAGATTGGAGGTCGGATAGATGAGAGAGTAGAGAAGAGTTTTTTTTTTTTTTTTTAAATACCTAATATGTCCTTTAATTATAATTTTAACTCAAACTACCATAATTATTTTCTAATTTATCCGTTGATTTGTGTTGAGATTGGATCTCACAGTTACTACAAACTATTCAGTTCTTATTTGATTAGGTCCATATATATATATATATATATATATATATATATATATATTGCATTTTAACATTTAAAATTATTATTCTCCACCAAGAATATTATAGTGAATAACCAAAAGTCCTTTTGATCTACCAGTATTTGATTGCTTTTATTGTCAAGCTTCTTAAAAGATCAAAAGTTC